TAATCCCCCTTATGTGTGCTGGGAGGCAGTTGAACAGTCTCGGGCCCCTGACACTTATTGTATGGTCTCTTAACGTGCTAGTGACACCCCTGCTTTTCATTGGGGGGATGGTGCATCGTCTGCCAAGTCTTTTGCTTTCGTAGTGAGTGATTTTCGTGTGCAAGTTCGGTACTAGTCCCTCTAGGATTTTCCAGGTGTATATAATCATGTATCTCTCCCTCCTGCGTTCCAGGGAATACAGGTTTAGAAACCTCAAGCGCTCCCAGTAATTGAGGTGTTTTATCTCCGTTATGCGCGCCGTGAAAGTTCTCTGTACATTTTCTAGGTCGGCAATTTCACCTGCCTTGAAAGGTGCTGTTAGAGTGCAGCAATATTCCAGCCTAGATAGAACAAGTGACCTGAAGAGTGTCATCTTGGGCTTGGCCTCCCTAGTTTTGAAGGTTCTCATTATCCATCCTGTCATTTTTCTAGCAGATGCGATTGATACAATGTTATGGTCCTTGAAGGTGAGATCCTCCGACATAATCACTCCCAGGTCTTTGACGTTGGTGTTTCGCTCTATTTTGTGGCCAGAATTTGTTTTGTACTCTGATGAAGATTTAATTTCCTCATGTTTACCATATCTGAGTAATTGAAATTTCTCATCGTTGAACTTCATATTGTTTTCTGCAGCCCACTGAAAGATTTGGTTGATGTCCGCCTGGAGCCTTGCAGTGTCTGCAATGGAAGACACTGTCATGCAGATTCGGGTGTCATCTGCAAAGGAAGACACGGTGCTGTGGCTGACATCCTTGTCTATGTCGGATATGAGGATGAGGAACAAGATGGGAGCTAGTACTGTGCCTTGTGGAACAGAGCTTTTCACCGTAGCTGCCTCGGACTTTACTCTGTTGACGACTACTCTCTGTGTTCTGTTAGTGAGGAAATTATAGATCCATCGACCGACTTTTCCTGTTATTCCATGGCGTAATAGCGCACAAAATGCGCGCTATTACGCCATGGTCACACTTGTCGAAGGCTTTTGCAAAGTCTGTATATATTACATCTGCATTCTTTTTGTCTTCTAGTGCATTTAGGACCTTGTCGTAGTGATCCAGTAATTGAGACAGACAGGAGCGACCTGTTCTAAACCCATGTTGCCCTGGGTTGTGTAACTGATGGGTTTCTAGATGGGTGGTGATCTTACTTCTTAGGACCCTTTCAAAGATTTTTATGATATGGGATGTTAGTGCTATTGGTCTGTAGTTCTTTGCTGTTGCTTTACTGCCCCCTTTGTGGAGTGGGGCTATGTCTGTTGTTTTTAGTAACTGAGGGACGACCCCCGTGTCCATGCTCCCTCTCCATAGGATGGAAAAGGCTCGTGATAGGGGCTTCTTGCAGTTCTTGATGAACACAGAGTTCCATGAGTCTGGCCCTGGGGCAGAGTGCATGGGCATGTCATTTATCGCCTGTTCGAAGTCATTTGGGGTCAGGATAACATCGGATAGGCTTGTGTTAATCAAATTTTGTGGCTCTCTCATAAAAAATTCATTTTGATCTTCGACTCTCAGTCTGGTTAGCGGCTTGCTAAAAACTGAGTCATATTGAGACTTGAGTAGCTCACTCATTTCCTTGCTGTCATCTGTGTAGGACCCATCTTGTTTAAGTAGGGGCCCAATACTGGACGTTGTTCTCGATTTTGATTTGGCATAGGAGAAGAAATACTTTGGGTTTCTTTCGATTTCATTTATGGCTTTTAGTTCTTCCCGCGATTCCTGACTCCTAAAGAATTCTTTTAGCTTAAGTTCGATGCTTGCTATTTCTCTGACCAGTGTCTCCCTGCGCATTTCAGATATATTGACCTCTTTTAGCCGCTCTGTTATTCTTTTCCGTCGCCTGTAAAGGGAGCGCCTGTCTCTTTCTATTTTACATCTACTCCTCCTTTTTCTTAGAGGAATAAGCCTTGTGCATACATCGAGTGCCACCGAGTTAATCTGTTGGGTCTGTGTTGCTTAGTATATCTTCCCAGCTTATATCGGTTAGGACTTGGTTTACTTGGTCCCACTTTATTTTTTTGTTATTGAAGTTGAATTTGGTGAATGCTCCCTCGTGAGAGAATGAGTATGTGGTGTGGTACAAAAAAAAAACAATCCTGCCCCAAGTGGCATTTGCTTTAAAATAGTAATGCTGAGGTGTTTTCTAGGATGGTTTTATTGGCCATTTCTCAGTATCATCTGACAGAATGGAAGACTTGTTACTGTAACAGAGACGATTCTGTTTGGTTTCAGGACTGGAAGTAGCTTGAAATCAGGCTCAAAATAACAGAAATATTCATTTTTTTATTATTTTCCCTGGTCTGCTTCATTGGTTTTTGCTAGGTCTAATTCAGTTATTGGGATGCTGTAAATCACGACCAATCATTCCTGGTTATATTTTTCACTGAAATAGCATAAATCTTCAATTTTTTGTTTGATGAATTCAAAATGAAAGGCAATTGCAATATAGGAAAGACCTGAGAAAATGATTAGTGAACACAGGAAATGTTGCTTTAGTGCCTGGAATGTCTACCGAGTTCATTTTGGAACATTTTTAAATTGACCAAAGTACATACAATATTCCATGCACTTTATAAGTTCTGATAGTTGAATGAGCAATTTCTGCTCAGTTGATAAAATGGAAGGCATACTAACAAAATAGCTAAGAATGCCTGAGGACAAAGTGAGAGCAAGTCCTCTCATACCCTACTCACATGGGCATAGCCTCATGATGTCACAAACTAGCCACTGAGCCTAGCTGAAGGGATCCTATATATTATATGGGTGATGCAACTTACGATACACTACACAAGTATATTACATAGGAATTCAGTAACGCTACTGACATGTGGTGTAAGTATTATGCAGAGAATTCATAGTGTGGAGACTAGGAAGTACAGGGTTACTGAAAGTACTATTCAGAGGGCTTAGAAGGGGATATTGAAGTGGTTTGTACATCAAGAAAGGATGGAGCAAAATAAGATGTTTTAGACGGAGTATAGATCTGTAGTGGGTCACCCTAGGAAAGGTTGGGGGAAAGGGGATGAGACGTACAGGTTTTGTGTGAAAGGCGCTTGGACATTCAGGAGGCATGTGTGAGCATGTTATATAAAAGTGAGTGGAGACAAATGGTTTTTGGACTTGACGAGCTGTTGGAGTGTGAGCAAAGTAACATTTGCAAAAGGATTTACAGAAACTGGCTAGCCAGACTTGAATTCTGGAGGTGGAAAGTACAGTGCCTGCACCCTGATGGAGGGGTGGGGATAGTTACAGTTTGGAGGGGTATCTGAACTGTAGTATTAGCACACTTCTGGAAAGATGGTGATAGTGAACGATGGCGAAAGTGTTCCTTCTTCTTAGAGTCACCCTACCTCAGTGGGAGATGGCCGGTATTATAAAAAATTATTATTAATATGGGTGGGATGTGTGGGTGAGCCTCAGCCAACCAGCAATGTGGTAGCTTGCCTCTTGGTCAATGTCTCAGCCAATAGGAGCATCAGTTCTTGTGTGGGTGGGCCTCAGCTAACCAGCAATGAGGTTGACTGCCTCTTGGACAGTGTCTGAGCCAAGAGGAGTGGGGTGTGTGTGTGTGGGTGGCTTAGCAGCCAATCAGCACTGGGGTTGAATGGTAGCACCTCAGCCAATAGTGGTTTGTCTATTCTTCAGTTTGAAGCTACCATGTGTTAGCCACACCAATTGGATTATTTACCCTTCATTACTTCATTTTAATTGCACCATCTTTTGCATTAGCAAGTCATCTTGGCCCCTAAAGTGGAAGTAAATAGGCAATTACTCTGAAGATCAAGCAAGAAATTGTGCATTGGTGTGTGAGTATGGCTTTCCACAACCATTATCACAACTATTATCAAGCAAAAAGAAATAATAAAGAACATAAAAGTGGCTGATGAATCTAATCAAAAAGAGCAGAGAAATTACCACAGGGATGAGAGATAAGCATTTTGGGGGTTGAGTCATGACAGTTTTAAGGCATGTTATGTCTCAACTCATGCAACCACTGTACAGATGAAAGCAAATCTGAAGGATACTAGAAAGCAGCACTATTTTTTCCCCCATACATTCCTCACTTTGCAGGATGCAACTTTTCAAACTGTCAGGATTTTCAGGAACATATCCCAAGTATTGTGAGTTTATTGAATTTCTATACACTAGAGTTTACTATGGGTACCACTGTGACTACAACTGCAAGTGTTTATGGATGAATCTAAGACCCACATGGCCACAATAAGATCTAGCTCAAATGCCTTTAAATCAAGTCAATGATCAAGTGGCTTTGAAGGAACTTGAACTAGATCTCATAGGTGCCATGTGAGTGTGAAATGTCCACATAAACTTGTATTTGTCACAGTGGGGCCCATTCTAACCTCTCTAGTGTATAGATATACATGTAGCTGTATGAAGTTTATTAAGCTTGAAAACACTAGCAGTTAAAGCACTGGATTGCTAATTTTAGGACTGGTTTTCCATGGGTTCAAGTTGTACCCATCACCCAAGTTTATTGTTACAATTTTTTAAATCAGATGGGGGCCTGGTATAAGTTTTTGAATACATCAGCCATTTCCCACTGAAGTATAGGTTTAAGTTGTGTAATTTATAAAGCATGCAAATTTCCTGCTAGTGTTATTAACTCACTGTCATCACATTAATCACAAAATAATCAAAATTTTAAATCCATTAGTTGCTCTTCAAATCATATTTGTAATTAGAGTCAAAGACTAAAGCAAAAGAAAACTGATATAGGGACAAAAGTTTTACTATTAAGGCCAAACAATGGGGTGTTGGGTTTTTATCAGGCACTCAGACTGCTCAAACTCCACTACTACAGTAAGGCAAATAAGCACTGAGGAATTAATTATTTCCTTGGGTGACTAAAGCCATATATGCAGTTGAATCTTCATAATAGATAACATTACTAGGCATTTTTTTTAGTAGTAGATTTAACATAGAAAATAAAATATTAGTACATACCTTGGAAATTCAGGAGCGTTGTTTTTAGATGGAGGGCTCTTCTTGCCAGAAACAATACGATACTGAACGCTGTGGGTGTTAGCTTGCAAGTGCTTCAGGTTCTCACTCTGACATGCTGCCCAATCACTAATATCATACACAGCACCTTCCATACATGCATAATACTTCCATCGAAGACCTAAAAAAGTACTCTCCGCCCAGATGTCACCCTGTGAAAATTTAACACATTACCATACTAATTTTTCCATAAAAAATAAAAAAAAATATTGCAAATACTGCAGTATTTACAAAATGTTAAAATATTAGCAAGTTAAAAAGAATTAACATTGTACAAAAGTACAAAAGGCAGAGCATAAGAAACAATGTAATGCCACCTGTTTTAATATATAGTATGTATCAGAACATACAGTATGTATCAGAATGATTCTCAATAACAATCAACATTATAGAAGGTTAACATAATGAGCTAGATGGAACACCAAATAAACACAGAAGGGTGATAGTGGGTGGAAAGGAGGGCTGAAGTGGCAAGTCAGACAAGGGCATAGTTCCCTGTTTATACATACGTACCGTATTTTCTCCTACAAGTCTATAAAAATATTACAGTGGGCCATCGTTTAGCACGGTTTTGTCTGGCACGTTTTGGTTACAGCACGACTGAAGAACTGCGGCATATTTATGTATAACATTTTGTAAAATTAACTTAACACGATTCGTAGGAGGGGAAAAAATTCTGAGCGCGTCGCCTCGCAAGGTATGTACCATCCTCTGCTAGGAGTTTATATATTTTTCTTGCCATATCTTAAATCTGCCAAGCACTCATGGCATCCAGTAAGCATACAAGTGTTGCTGAAAGTGGCAAGAAAAGGTTTAAGGGTTTAAGTCTTAGAATTAACAAAGAAAATAGAGATATCAGACAAGAGATAGCCAGTGGCCGTAATGAAGCATCTCTTTGTGCACATAAAAAGAATGAGGTAAATATTAGTTTGTGTGATGACTGATTTACTGACTGACTTACTGATTTACTGACTGTATTACTGACTTACTTGACTGACTGACTTACTGACTTGACTGACTGATCTGACTGATTTACTGACCGACTTAAAGTTAGACTTTTTCACTGGAAAGGACCCTGAAACTGTCTAGAGCAGCTGATGCCTTACTGTCAGTTGTATAATGTACTGTGGGTTAAAATAGAACAGAAATCCATTACAGAATTTATGCACACTCCAGTACAATCATCGACTTCAGTACCAGTACTTCTACCATCCACCTCAGCCCAGTAGGGACACTGCATAACTCTGTACTGTCCACACTCATCCACAAATACCAGCACCCATAATTTAAGGTAAAAAATACTATTATATCTGTTGCATTTGTAATCTTAAGCAGTAAAATCAACATAATACATCACGATTATGAACTACAATTACATATTCACTTTTATTTTTGTAAGATCTGGAGGTCTAAAAAAAAGTCATTTAGCTTTTTGGGGCTCCCAGGAATGTAACCCTATTTTTCCCATAAATTCTTCAGTTTGTCTAACACAATATTAACTAAAACAGCAATAACAGTGTGACTTTGTCAATGGTCCAAGTCGGACCGAAACGTCGTCGTAAGCTTCTCTCTTTTATGTGCGGGTTATTTGTGTAACTAAAACAGCATTTTCATGAACGTAACTACCATGTTAAACAATGGTCTACTGTATATACAGTAACCCTTGAACAACATAGGTTTGAACTGTGCGGGTCCACTTATGCACAATTTTTTTTTTTAATAAATACAGTGGACCCTCAACCAACGATATTAATCCGTTCCTGAGAGCTCATCGTTAGTCGAAATTATTGTTAGGCGAGTTAATTTTCCCCATAAGAAATAATGGAAATCAAATTAATCCGTTCCTGACACCCCAAAGTATTGAAAAAAAAAAAATTTTTACCACATGAAATATTAATTTTAATACACACAAACTGAAGAAGACATGTACAATTACATGACACTTGCCTTTATTGAAGATCTGGTGATGATTGATGGGATGGGAGGAGGGGAGAATGTGGATGGTCTTAGTGTTTAGAAGGGGAATCCCCTTCCATTAGGACTTGAGGTGTCAAGTCCTTTTCTGGGGTTACTTCCCTTCTTCTTTTAATGCCACTAGGACCAGCTTGAGAGTCACTGGACCTCTGTCGCACAACAGATCTGTCCATAGAGCTCTGTACCTCCCGTTCCTTTAAGATTTGTCTAAAATGAGCCATAACATTGTCATTGTAATAGTCACCAGCACGGCTTGCAATAGCTGTGCTAGGGTGATTTTCATCCATAAAGGTTTGCAGTTCAACCCACTTTGCACACATTTCCTTAATCTTTGAAGTAGACACAATGGACTCCACAACTGGCATAGGCATCTCAGGGTTAGCCCCAAACCCTTCAAAATCTTTCTTAATTTCCATACTAATTCTCACCCTTTTTATCACAGGGTTGGCACTAGAAGCTTTCTTGGGGCCCATGGTGACTTATTTTGCAGGTGCAATCACTAAAAACGCTGTGATAATATGAAATGTTCCGACTGTATGTTTGGATGCAACTGAGGTGGCTGGCTTGTAAACACTGGCACCCACTTGACAAGTGAGGCGCGCTCAGGCCACACGTGGACGCGTCTCGAATGGAACGAATTGCGTTGGTCGAGTTTTTTAGCGCTAGTCGAGGCAAAATTTTTGCGCTAAAATGCATCGCTAGTCAGATTTAACATTATATGATGCCATCATCGGTCGAGGGTCCACTGTATATTGGAAATTTTTTAGAGATTTGCAACCAAAAAAATTAAGTTAAGTATGTCATGAATGCATAAAATATATGTAGACACTCATTTACTTTATCATTTACTACATAAAATATACACAAATCTATTATAAAAAGATAAAATTTATCAAAACTTACACAGACAATTACAGATCATACATGTTCCATTTGCAGTCGAAAGAAATGTAAACATAAAGATGTAATAATATATAAAAATATTATATGTATATAAAAAATATATAATATTTTTTTTTTTTTTTTTTCAACAAGTCGGTCGTCTCCCACCGAGGCAGGGTGACCCAAAAAAGAAAGAAAATAATAATATATTGGTGATGACAGTGTGCTTTTGGGAGATTCTGAAGAGAAGTTGCAGAGGTTGGTGGATGAGTCTTGTAGGATATATAAAAGAAAATTAAAAGTGAATATAGGAAAGAGTAAGGTAATGAGGATAAAAAAAATTAGGTAACAAAATATTGGTTATCAGATTGGAGGGAGAGAGTATGGAGGAGGTGAATGTATTCAGATATTTAGGAGTGGACATAGCAGATGGGTCAATGAAAGATGAGGTGAATCATAGAATTGATGAGGGAAAAAAGGCGAGTGGTGCACTTAGGAGTCTGTGGAGAAAAAGAACTTTGTCCATGGAAACCAAGAGGGAAATGTATGAGAGCATTGTTATACCAATGCTCTTATATGGGTGTGAAGCATGGGTAGTGAACGTTGCAACAAGGAAAAGGCTGGAGGCAGTGGAGATGTCATGTCTGAGGGCAAGGTGTGGTGTGAATATAATGCAGAGAATTTGTAGTTTGAAAATTAGGAGGTGTGTGATTATCAAAACTATTATGCAAAGGACTGAGGAGAGGTTGTTGAGGTGGTTCGGACATGTAGAGACAATGGAACAAAATAGAATGACTTCAAGTGTATAAATTTGTAGCGGAGGGAAGGCTGGGTAAGGGTCAGCCTAGGAAAGGTTGGAGGGAGAGGTTAAAGGAGGTTTTGTATGCGAGGGGCTTGGACTTCCAGCAAGTATGTGTGAGCATGTTAGACAGGAGCAAATGGAAACAAATGGTTTTTAGGATTTGACATGCTGCTGGAGTGTGAGCAAGATAACATTTATGAAGAGATTCAGGGAAACCGGCAGGCCGGACTTGAGTACTGGAGATGGAAAGTACAGTGCCTGCACTCTGAAGGAGGGGTGTTAATGTTGCAGTTTTATAACTCTAGTCGTTGAGATTCTGATTTCAAAATCTCCACGACTACGGTGCTCTTCGCACCAACTCCAAGGTTGAGGGACTGATTACCTCATCTTCTATATATAGTTCTACTGTCTTCAAGTTATGTCCTGGAATTTGTATTGATAAAGCCACTGGGTGGCAAAATGTCTACAATAAAGATACCCAGATGTTGCACATGTGTCCGGATATAATTATTCCCAGGTCTTTTACGTGTTCCTTTCGTTCTATTTGGTGACTCTTGAATTTTGTGTATACACGTAGTGTTCCTTTTGAGTTCTTCATTCTTTCCAAACATAAGCAGCTGAACTTATCACCAATGAACGTCATGCTGTTCTCCACTGCCCACTGGAAAACCATGCTTGTCTTCCTGTAATTTTTCAGCATCTTCTACCATAGTGACTTTCATGCTTATTTTAGCATCATGAAATGATACAAAAGTGTGATGGGTGTTTTTATCTATGTCTGCTATGAGGATGAGAAAAAGCAGACGTGCCAGGACAGTGCCTTGGTGCACCGAGCGTTTTACCTCGCTGATGCTCGATCTTGCTCTGTTTACTATTACTTTTTGTATTGTGTGTGTTAAGAAACTGAAAATCCATCTGCTCATGGCCCTCATTTTGTGTGCTATCACTCCATGATTGCATTTGTCAAATGCAAAATCTGTGTAAATCGCATCTGCATTTTGGTCACCTTCCAATGCCTCCATAATTGTCATAATGGTTAAGCAGTTGTGACAGGCATGATCATCCTGCTTTAAAACCATGCTGGTTTGGGTTATGCTGGTTGTGCTGGTCCATGAAATTTGTAATCTGCTGTCTCATAACTCTTTCCAGACTGGGAGATGGCCGATGTGTTAATAAAAAAAAATATTAATAATAAATTATATTATTATTACAGATCATACGTGTTCTATTCACAGTCGAGAGCAATGTAAACAAAAATGCAATAACATAATAATAATAATATAAAAGAATGTATAATTTTTTTTTCAACACTCCGGCTGTCTCCCACCATCATTCAACACTTTCCCCATCATACACACATAATCACTGTCTTTGCAGAGGCACTCAGATACGACAGTTTAGATGTCCCAAACCCATCCTTCAAAGTACTGACATTGTACTACTTCCCACCTCCAGGACTCAACTCTGGCCAAATGATTTCGCTGAATCCCTTCA